AAAGTGTTATCCTCGCGCTTAAATGTTATTACTTGTATAATTAGTGTTATAATCACTAATTATTTATATACATATGTTTTCATATGTAATTAGGATCATTGTGTGTGTCTAAGTCTCCACTTGACACCAAGCACTTGTCCGATCCTTCCGTACAATAACAGTCCGTTCAATTCCAGTCACTAACTGCAGGTGAGTTCATACCCCTTAACTAATGTTTTAAACTCTTTTTAAATGTTTTATGGGGGGGGGGGATACAAGTAGAATCATGCTACTTATTATGTCAATCACATGTGATTAGCAAGTAGGATTATATTACTTATTACATCAATCACATGTGATTAATATACAGCAATCAAATGATTTGGCTACTCATTAGCGGTCTTACCAAACAGTTTCCTTCAAATGACTTTTTATAACATTTTATATGTTTTAAAATCCTTTTTACACTGTACAGCTTACTCCGTACATTTCCTTTCAAACTTATTTACAACCGTGTTTCAAACAAATGTTTCCTTATACTTAAACTGTTTTATTAAACTTATGCCTTCAAATTGTTTCCTTTTCGCGCCTTGAGATGTGGTCTGGTGGGATTTTGGGTATTCGTCCGAAGGTCATTTAAATATTAGTTATATATCATGTACACATATATAGTCATAAAAGGTCCTTCCAGTTCATCCTATGCCCTTGGGTAGCAAGGGTATACATCCTTGTCCATACGTACACTTAGATTACTAGAAAGCTACCATGTGGGTAGTTCAGGAAGATACTAGAACCATTGCTAGAACACGATATCATTCAATGAGTCAGTTCATTCATGAGTCAATACTTTCTAGAACTTTTCAGTACATTACATATACAGCTATACTAGGACGAGAACATATACAACTATACTAGAATGATTACATTACTATACTTGCTAGATAGAGAGAACACACATTACAGCTAGCACACGTAGAACATTACAGTACACTACTGTACTATTACATGATCGCTCTTACTTGAGTACAATTACATGATCACACTTACATATACATAGAACAGACGTCATTCGGTGCTATAGCACGGAACCAGTTCAGGATCTAACTATACTGATGAATCACACCACAATTGTGATAGTTATATCGAGTATACATGATCATTCGGTAATGTGGATGCTCACGGCTTGCGTTCATGCAGGGGTCGTGGGTAGGTCCCAAAATCCCTTTGATAGGGGAGCGTATAGTCTGGGATCTAGACATCACATTATACCTTATCCCTCAAATAAGGCAGTTGAGTACCGATGTAGTTATTTTTATTAAATACTACAGTACTTGGAAGTATTACCCTAGAGTTAAGGTAATAAGTACGGTTGTAGTTGGACACTACACCATAGTACTACATTGATTTTCCATTACATATTTTTAGTGATAACCTCACTTAAACATTATTGTACAAATTATATTTTTGAATAATGATAGTTATACTTTGGAAAATACATCCTCTTACAAGAGACACACACATTCAGAATAGTTAGGTCTTGGTAGAAGACTACATTCAGAACAGTTAGGTCTTGGTAGAAGACTCCTTTTATTATTAATAGGAATCATAGGGATTCTAGGGTTTTTCAAACACTTACAGTTCATATACACTTTCAATACTTTTAAGTACATATACTTACATTTTCTCACATACAAATTAAGACACTAAATACTTATGATCTCACCAGCTTTAAAGCTGATACTCGCTTTCAAAATTACTTGTATCCTCAGGTCATCATAGAGAGGTACCGATGCAAGGAGAAAGGAAGATGGAGCTTGTTCAAGGCTTATCTTTCATTTTGATTTATGCTTTAGTGTTTATCAAAATTTGACAGAACACATTTGTATAATAATTATATTATTAATGCAATGGATGATGTTGTTGCTTGTTTACTACTTTACATTGTTGTTGATATTATACATGACGTCCTCCGCCCCAGAACGTTTCCGCCGTTCCTGGTTTTGGGGTGTGACAATTGGGCCTTAGACCTATTGGACCCACTTTTGGGCCATTGGGATTGGATTGTGAATTAAGCCCAAACTATTCCATGCCATTTATCTAGTAGAGTAAATAACTTAATGGACTAAGTCCTTAATGAGCTAATTGAGAAAAATATTAATATTTGAGAATTTATCAGCACACACACGAGAATTATTTAATAAGTGAATATTAAATAATAATCATTGGCAGAAATGAATCTAAGCAATAATGGACTTAATGGATTAAGTCCTTAATGGATTAAGTCCCTAGTGTGTTAAGTCCTTAATGGGTTAAGTAAGAAACACTTAACCCTAGTTATCATTTTATATGAAACCCTAATTTTACTTGGGCTTTGTGTTGGGCCATCCAAGAACAAGCAAATGGACTAGAATAATTTATTGGGCTTTAGGGTAAGGTCCATATGAAGGATTGGGCCCAATTTGGAAAATTGGGCCGTAGTTGTGGCTTAGATGGTTGTATGATGTTGGGCCCCTAGAATGAGACATGTTAGACTGGACTAGATAATTGGGCCTTAAGGGAAGTCCATGTAGAGGTTTGGGCCCAATTTGGAAAATTGGGCCATATGTTGGGCTTTGATCCCTAGTTGACCTTGGGCCTATGGATTGGGCCTTGGGCTTAGGTAAGACAAGCTAGGGGTAATGTAGTAATTGTCCAAAGCATGTATTTATAGTTATGTGTTAGAACCTAATTATTAATTGGGTGTTATTTTGGTGTTGACAGTTCGGGAATCTGTCATCCAGCAGTTGGGGTTAAGTCTGCGGGACTTCAGCAGTGTGGGATTGTGTCTACGGGACTTCAACAGTGTGAGGTGAGTTTCCTTCCAGTAGGAATGGGTCTAAGGCCACAATGCCGGCCCATTTAGTAGCAGTAGTTTTCGGACTTTGGTCCGATGCAGTTGTTAGTTTGTTTGATGCCTTCGTGGTTCAGACATGATTTATGTGTTAAGTGTTATGGGCTACGGCCTGACGTAGTATGCAGTATATGAGTTTATGATCATGTGTGTTATGCTATTTGATATATGATTTTCTATGCTATGCTATGCCCAGTCAGTTCCGGACTTCGGTCCGATGCAGTTAGTTCCGGACTTCGGTCCGATGCAGGGGACAAGGTCCCAGTCAGTTCCGGACTTCGGTCCGATGCAGTTAGTTCTGGACTTCGGTCCGATGCAGGGGACAAGGTTCCAGTCAGTTCCGGACTTCGGTCCGATGCAGTTTCCGGGCTTTGGCCAGATGCAGTGGGCAAGGCCCAATATGTGTTTATATGTTATTGTATGGTATGAGGTAGTTTGGGGGAGCTCACTAAGCTTCGTGTTTACAGTTTCAGTTTTGGTTTCAGGTACTCAGTTTTCAAAAGAGGAGCTCGGGAAGATTGCAGTGCACACACCATTTGTTCAGCCTGGGATATTTATACTCTGATATGTTTGACAGTTGTTATGATATTTTGACATACATTGTTTATGATTCTTATATGACATTGATGAATATGGTTTTAATACTGATTTAAAACGAAATTTTCAGACTGTGTTTTTAGGATGCTACATATATATATATATATATATATATATATATATATATATATATATATATATATATAGTTAGGATCATGTGAGACGACCTAATTTTGTGAAACCGTGAGACGCATTTTTTTATTTATTTTTATTTGTTTATAATTTTTTTTAGTTAATTCAAGTTCCGAAAATAATATTTAAAAAAAGAATTTTTGGATTTTTCCATTTATTTTGAATTTTAAAATTATTTTTTAGAATATATCAGTGTAATATTCTACTAGAATATTTAACGTATTTTCCAAAACAAATGGAATTTATTTATTTATTTTATTTTTTTATATTTATTTTAGTTAATTCAAGTTCCGAAAATAATATTTAAAAAAAGAATTTTAGATTTTTCCATTTATTCTGAATTTTAAAATTATTTTTTAGAATATATCAGTGTAATATTCTATTAGAATATTTCACTTATTTAAAAAAAAACGGAATTTTTTTTTTACTTTTTTTAATTTTTTTTAATTAATTCAAGTTCCGAAAATAATATTTAAAAAAAGAATTTTTGAATTTTTCCATTTATTTTGCATTTTAAAATTATTTTTAGATTTGGTCTCACGTTCTTACAAAATTAGAATGATTTCAAATGAACCTGTATATATATATATATATATATATATATATATATATATATATATATATATATATATATATATGTATAAAACTTTTTTTTTTTTTTTTTTTTTTTTTTTTTTTTTTTTTTTTGTTTTTTTCTGCCCGTCCTTGACACTTCAGGATATTTAAATTCTCAAACTTGTCCTACTTACCTTACGAATAATTTTGGGGAACAAAGATTCATCGAAATTTCCTATAAACTTCGAAGACAATTATGAAGAAGAGTGACAAACGTGTTTTTAATTTATTAAATTATATTTCCTCAAAAATCTGTCTGAAGTTCCTATGCATTTGAAGGGATATAAACAAAAAAAGAAGAAAAAAATCATACAACACCAAAGATTCAAGCACGAGTTTGGAATTTTATCCAAGAGTTCTAATGTTGGATTTTATAATTAGGGTTTTATCATTATTTCTTTGAAAATCTCTAGAATATTATTATTATTATTATTATTATTATTATTATTATTATTATTATTATTATTATTATTATTATTATTACACATACATAAATAATAATAATGACTAGTGAAAATTCATCGGATTTGCAGGGGTTGGAAATCATTGAATGTTTTGCAATTGGATGTTATGTTAAGACAAATAATATATATATATATATATATATATATATATATATATATATATATATATATATATATATATATATATATATATATATATATATATATATATATATATATATATGGACAATAAAACTGGTCCTTTGTTTTTGGATATTCTGGCTTTGTTACTGTCGCTTTTTATGTGGGCATTTTATATCATTTTGTAAATTCTTTATGTGTATGGGTCTACGACGTTTCCCAGACACGTATCTTCCATTGTCTTTTCTCTCCAATGGCTTTAATCCACATACGTAACAGTTGCCTGCTCTAGGTCTCACTGCTCTACTTCTATGAGAAAATCGCCGCCGCCTGTGCGTCCATGTTATGCCCACCGCCCCTCTCTCTCAATCAGCTAATCCACTGCTTTTGTTACCCACCCGGGTGTTCATTGGGTTATTGTCTACCATGGTCACCGCCTCCACCGCTTACTTCCTATGTACGATCCATCTTCTTTCTTCTATTCTCACTCTACCCGTTACCATCTCTAAATGGGTACAACAATAACAGATTGGAGAGGAAAACTAAGGAATCACCAAGGTAGTCGGTGTCCGGTCGTGTCAAAGACTGGTTCTGTCACTGCCGACGTAAAGGCTTTTGGGTATCGGCTATTTCAAGTACAAATTTTCTTCAACTTCTGCTTCTATATCACTTCTTCTCCCGTCGTTTCTCCCATATGCGAAAGATTTTTTGAATCTATTTGTTAACGTGATTTTTAATTTTCCCAGCAATTCCCTACTACTAAGAAGCTGGTCGTTCTCTATTACCACAACATTCTTATAAACAGTACTCACCTGAGGTACTGTTCGTCAGTTTGGGTTAGATGGTCAATGTATCGGCTTCTACTTTCCAGTTTCTTCTACACTCCCTACGCTCTTCAAAACAATTGCCTTTAGCGACTCAGATTCTCTTCTTCTAACTTACCAATGTTTTCATTCTAAATCACCGTCATCATCGATAGAGAACAAATTATCCGCCGGCTCTTCCTCGGCTTCATCGGTGAACCCTTGATTTTCCATCAAAGACATACTCAGGTTTCAATAAATTACACCGACTTTAGTTATCTAGATCCCTTCAATGATTTCATGGCCTAAATTGACTATCCATTTTGGTTTTTTAAAGATAGGAATTGTGTGCTTTGTAGGTGGTGATTGTTGTATGTGGGTTTCCAGCGACTGTGAGGTTGGTGAACCAGACACCTGATGAAATTGTTTCCGTTATTGCTTGCTACTGCTATGCTCATTGCTATTCTTCTTGAATTTCCTGCCCATTTTGGGTTAGACCATTGCCAATTTGCGGTTTGAAGGTAAGCAACCTTTGATTTCAGATTTTGAACTAAGCTACAGTTCGATTTTGATGTGATTTAGTTTGTGTTTTTTTTCACAGCTTCAATATTATTTAAGATGACTTCTATACCAGATGTATGTTTTGTAAAGTTCGATTTTCTGATGTCTAAATTGGAAGACTTTCACTTTGTTTCTTCGGATTATTGACATATATAGGCTTCAACACCAACTCTGTTGACTGGATGGAGAGGATATGTGATCTTAGTATGTAACTTTGTAGAAAATTCCAAAAGTTGAGACTAATAGCGATCTGCAACATGTTATTGAGGTAATGTATTTCTTTGATTCATATTAAAGAACTTTTTGGTTTAGTTATGGTGATCAAAAGGTGTTTTCAACTATTTTTTGTTTTTTGAACATAAAAGATATAGGTTATTAATATTATTTAGTGTTTCACAGATAGCAAGACAAGTTTTTAGATGTAGGCGGTTGGGTTGTGATTTGGGGATTCATTAACATGGTGATCAAATATCAAAAACAAACCATGGCATTGATGGAAGAAGAAAGAAGACAGATTATGATGATGTATTTATAAATTGTAAGAAAAAAAGCTAGGATGCACAACTTTTGATGATTTCTTATGTTCACCCTATGTAGGCAAAATGAATGTTACAGACCATAGGCTTTCTTATCACATTGTTATATCTTGATATAACCCAATATTATCTCTAATACTGCCACTATTTATCTTCAAAAAGGTATTAATTGTACTTTTAATAGTTGATGAAAAAAATATCTATGAGAGCAATGTATTTTTTTTTCTCGGTAGTTATAATAAATTTCTGACTGTTAAACTTCCTGCCTGTAGGCTGCCTATCAAATTTGCTGCAAAGTATTTCCTTATCCACCTAGGAAGTTGCAAGTTCACCCATGGATGGACAACCAAATATTTGGATTCCTAGCCTAGAGAAGGATTCAACCATGGTTTTCTTTACATATACAAGCAAGGAAATTAAGAAACCTTATTCATAAAAACGTTTCAAGGAAACAGGTAAATACAAAAGTTCTAGAAACAAAAAAAAAACACTTTTATCGATAACATCTATTTTTACCTTTGGAATGCACTAGCAGGTAGATAAATAGACATTGTTTATGAAAAAAGGAGTACACTTTGTTGGCATGCTTAAATACCTTTGATGTTGCATAAAATTTGTTCTTAAAATGGTTGAATGCAAGAAGTAGTAGTTTACTTTTATTTCTTGATTAAGGCATTGTAGTATAAAAGCTCTATCGGGCTATAACATTGTTCTTTCTTTTATTTTCTTATTACAACATTATACTTTGAAAAAACTACCTGATCATAGCAGTATATTTTTTTCGGATGACATTGCTATAGTTGGTAAAATTTTTAAATAAAATGAGAAAGAAATGAAAGTAGGATGTTATAATAAACAAATCAATGAAAGTACTTTCCTATTTTTTTTGCATTTTACTCTTTCTAGATGGCGTGTGTACAAAGGGTATCTCTTATGAATATTAAAACAATATGTTATCATCATGATTATTATGTTTACTTTTTACATCAATAGGCAGATGGATCTCCAACAATAGACAGGGAGGGAATGGCCGATATTGGAGAACGAAACAGTGAACGAGAAGGTAACTAAGAGGTATAATTTCCTTCATTGTGATAGGTGAGAAAAGAAACTACTTTTGTCCTTCAATTTTTTGAAGTTAAAATTCTGGAAGTACCAAACATCAGATGATAACCACGCCAAGTTTACAGTACCTGATGGTATGATCTTCCTACATTTTTATTATGGGTTGGAGAAGAAAGAAAATAAAATAAGAACACATTGTGAGATACGATTTTAGAAATTGGAAATGATCAGACGCTGGATGAGTTATTATTGTTATTATTGCCTTATTGAGTCAACTGACTACTTTTTCATACTAATGTATTGTACTTTAAATTAAGTTATTATATCTGCAACGTCCCAAAATTCAAGGCAAAAAATTCTTTTAAAAACATTACTAAATCATAGTGTAAAGTTATTCAAACATACAAAAAGGGTTTATATGACAAATCATAGTTTCATTTCCAAATTGTTTGTTTAATTGTCAGAGTAAAACATACCAGGTTAACTTGTCATGGTGCGTGCACTGCAACCCTCCCGCGCTCCTTTTCTGAAAACCGGATACCTGAAACCAAAACTGAAAACTGCAAACACGAAGCTTAGTGAGTTCCCCAAATACCACATACCATACAACCAATTGATCCAAACATGCCATACTTAGCCAAGAGCCATACATAATCAACATACCATAATCAAGTAAGGTGCTATGTGCCAAACATAGTATTGCTAAGATGCTATGTGCCAAACATAGTCTGGTGGTTGTGCCACGGGCCGCATGTGGTCTTCCTGGTCCAGCCTGGGGCCATTCCCTGGGTCTTACAGATAGGTGCCAAGGGTCACCCCCTGGTCTTTCATGCAAGTATCACAAAGACAACTATACATACTACTCTAGTAGGCTACTCCGCATATAGTGTGCCAGGAGCTACCTCCTGGTCTTTCATACACAATGGCATACAGTGCGCCAGAAGCCACCTCTTGGTCTTTCATACGTATTGCCTAGGGCTAACCCCCGAGTCTTCCTATCATACATAATAACATACTATGTGACAGGAGCCGCCTCCTGGTCTTTCATGCATAATGCCTAGGGCTAACCCCAGGGTCTTCCTAGCATACATAAACTAAATGGGCCGACATTGGTGCCTTAGACCCATACAAACAGTGAGGAGACTCACCTCGCACTGCTGAACTTTGCTGATAATCCTCTGGCTGTTGCCTGACCACTTTCTGAACCGCTGCTCCCCTAGCTCTCTGCGCTACAAATACCAATAAAACACTTAGTTCCAGACTGAACTCTAGAAGTCAACCCAAGTCAACTATGGTTAAAGTCAAAGTCCCGGTCATCCTTCCAGTTGAATCGACTCGCCGAGTCAACCCATAGACTCGCCGAGTCCTTAACTCAGAAACTCCCATAACACGACTCAACTCGCCGAGTCACCCCAAGACTCGTCGAGTTCAACGATCTCTGAGTCCCTTCCTGTCCAACTCACTGAGTCACCACTCAAGTCACCGATCTGCGTCTTAACCAGAAGAGGTTGGGGGTTCTGCGACCCGACTCGTCGATTCCAAGAACAGACTCGTCGAGTCCTAGACAATCTTCAACAGACTCGCCGAGTTGTTCTTACAATTCGTCGAGTTCCTGCCTATCTTTATCCAACTCGCCGAGTCCACCCATGTGACTCGCCGAGTAGCTTCAACTCTTAATCCATACAATGGATTTTCGAGCCATGCAGGGGCTCCAAACTATAGATCCACTCTTCTAAGGCCCATCTTTCACGTAAAGTTGCAAACTTTACGTGAAACCAAGATGCTATAGGCTTAAAACATTCTAGGGCTTGGTTTTGTGACAAGCATGTTTCACCAACACACCAAAGACTGCTACTTTATGGGTTTCTAGGACAAGAAAACCCTAGATCCAAAGTTCTCTTTGCTCACAAAGGCACAATACATGAGTTGGCCTTGGAAATGGCCCAAAATGACAAAATCTAACTAGGAGAGGGGATCTAAGTGAATAACACCCAATGTATGAGCTTCATACCTTTCTAGGATCTGAAATGACACACAAACACAGAGTCCATTGCTACTTCTTAAATCACCCAAAGTCTTCCTTCTTCCTTATATCTTTAAATCACTCAAAAATGGCGAGAGAAGCTCAATGACACTCAATGGCTGCTTAGGGTTTCGAGTGAAGGTAGAGGGAGTGATGGAGGCTGGGGTGAAGGCCTGAAATGGTACTTAAATAGGGCACTAAGCCCTGGAATTTGGGTTTTCCAACCCAGACATGACTCGCCAAGTTGGTCCCTCCGACTCGCCGAGTCGGTCACTGAAACCCTGATACGGGTCCCGCTCCAACTCGTCGAGTTCACCAATGCACTCGACGAGTTGACCCCTTTAACTTAGGGTTTTCCTTTCATTTCTTGGTCTTTCTGATTCTAGGTGTTACAACACTCCCCCACTTAAACTAGACTCCGTCCTCGAAGTCTGTCACAACCAACTACCTTACCATCTGGTCGCCATTTACAACAAGGTACGCACTCCACCCCTTTCGATCCAAACCTTGAAAATGCCATCTTCAAGATAATCCGTTACATGCAACCTTCGAGTACCACACTTTATCCAACCGGTAATCTTACCAATACTCCTGATACACCTATCCTTTATTCGCAAGGGGTTTACTCTTTCACCCTACACTGTCACCGGCCTTTCTAAGGCACTTTCCACAAGCAACAATCTTCCCAATTTCCTTTGAGGACCAATCCTCTGCCGAAACCGCAATCTCGACCACTCCTAGTGCTGACCGTCAAACCAATACTCATGGAATGATCCTTATACAATGCTCTAATAATGAAAGCTCCACCCAATCGTGAGAATTCAGACAATCCTTCGGGTAGCAGATTCCTTTTTGCTACATTTCAGGCTCATCCGAGAACGGCGTCACCGAGCCAAATCCTTTACCCTAAGATTATTCGATCCCGCGATGAGCAGTTTAGCCTCACCCAATCAGCTCATGGCTTTTCACACCGAATCCTTTACCATCATTCCTGTCGGCAGTCCTGTTGACTCCCATCCGCCTACCGGATGAACCGAGACCGCCCTGGTCCCAACTGGTCTACCATTACCCGGAATACCGGTTTCCCCCATGCTACCTCGGAGATATGGGCCCTCGCCCACACTCCACGAACTAAGCTACTAATCAATACCACGACTTACACATAGTCTTGTGCCACTCTTGGTCTCCAATGACCTACTGTCTTCCAGACCCAATCATAATGTGGCCTGCTCACATCCGGGGGCTGCCCTGTCCTGAACTTACTACTTGAAAACCCTACCACTGAATCGTACACCTGATACATTCGCACTAGCGAATAGGGACCGATGAATGCTACGGGCCACCTCGTAGTCTTACAACACTCTACGCTGCCAGCCAACTAAAGCTACGGGCCACCCTGCAGTCTTGCTAAACTAATGCTACGGGCCACACCGAAGTCTAACTATACTCATATACGATCGCTATTGGCCAGACCGCAGTCTTACTAAACTAATGCTACGGGCCACACCGCAGTCTTACTAAACTAATGCTACGGGCCACACCACAGCCTTACTAAACTAATGCTACGGGCTACACCGCAATCTTACTAAGCTAATGCTACGGGCCATACCGTAGTCGCACCACACTTCGACGCTATCTGCTAACCATCTGTAACATCCAGATTCCCAGGTATATTATTGTTCATTTAATTTTTGGAGTTTGTGAAGGAACTTGGCGAGTTGGCGCCAAGACTCGCCGAGTAGGGACGCAGATGTTCATTCTATTTCATGACCGAACTCGGCGAGTCCATCCGTGGACTCGGCGAGTCCACGCTATTTAGTGAAGCCCTAATTTCCAGGGCTTGGAACCTATTTAAAGGCCCTTATGACCGTCCATTGTGGCTACTACCCCCAGAGAGAGTCTCAGATCGTTTGAGAAGCAAGGAGTGATCATTGTTGATCCATGTGGTGTCATTTAGTAACAAGGAGGTTCTAGCCAAGGGAAAGCAAAGGAGGTTGCTATTCTAAGGACTAAAAGCTAAGATCATTCATTTGAGGTATTATTTCGACTCTTCTTCTGTTTTGGGAAGGATATGTGGTTTTAGGGTTTCTTGTACCCTTGACTAAGTTGATTTGAGGTCCAAATAGTCCCTTCTAGAGATAAGGCTTTGTACCTGGAGCCATAGAGGTCCAGAGAGCCTTACTCTTCAAGCTTTATGAAGAACAATGGAGGTCATGACCTTGGGTTGAGGTATTTGGGACAAAATCATCATTTGATGCTTATTGGTTGAGTTATAAGCATCAGGATTTAGACTTTACATGACATTTATGCTTGGGAATGCCAGATTTATGGATTAGGGGCACATATCTGACCACAGGAGATCAATAGAGTTTGTGCATGGCATGAAATCACCGAGTTGTTCTTGGGACTCGACGAGTAGGGTTAAGGTCCACACAGATTACTCAGTGAGTAGACTTGCCGAGTTGGGAGATAACTCAGTGAGTCAGAAGGGGGTTAAAAGACTAGAGTTCAAGGCAGTACTCACCAAGTTGTTCTTGAGACTCGGCGAGTTGAGTCGGGGTAGCCCCATGATTCATGCTAGGTGTGACTCGTTGACCATGGGGTAGGACTCGACGTACCAAGCGGGACAGAGAGTTAGTGGACATGTGTGTACTTGTCGAATCACCGGAGTGCACTTGGTGAGTTGGGTCAAAGTTGATCGTTGACTTTTGTTGACTTTTAGGGTTTGGACAACAATGGGGTCCTTGAGTCAAGATGGGGGTAAAATAGCCTTTTACCCTTCTGAGGGTGACAATAGAGGGTCGAGTTTAGCCTCGAGTTTTATGTTTATGAGGGTATTTACTTTGTGTGAATAGGCGGATGCTAGGCAATACTTCTACCGAGTCAGAGATTTACGAGACGTCTGAGGTGAGTCTTCTCACTATGGCTTACCCGATGGGGTAATTGTATGTGACCGAAGGGTCTTATGTGTATGATGTATATGCGATGTAAGTTATATGTGATATGTTATGTGATGTGAGCATGATGTGGGCCGGAAGGTCAAGATGATACGAACCAGAAGGTCAACCGAGTTTGGGATGGAAATCCCCTGAGACACTTGGATCGGAAGGTCCTATGGCATGGAAAGGCGTATGTGATATATGTGGTATTTTAGGGAACTCACTAAGCATTTATGATTACAGTGTTATGTGTTATGTGTTTCAGGTACTAGTGATGATCGCGGGAAGGCGCCGGCATGACTCGTACGCACGCACACTGGAGTTTAAATATTTTGATCTTGAGTTTTATACTGATACAATGTTGATACAATGTTTTTATTTATGAATGCAAACTATATTTCATGGTTTTTCAAAAAGTGAAAAACTGTTCAAATTTTTACGATGTTACAACTTGGTATCAGAGCCTTGGTTTGAGGGATTCGGATACATCTTCGGACGTATCTGAACTCAAATTGGGGATTTGAGGGATTTTTTTTATAATGAAGTAAAATTTTTGAAAAAGAGAAAAAGGGTTTCGAGACAAAAGGATCAGAGCCGTGTGTACGATCAGCCGGCGCCCGAACGGTGATTTCCCAAAATACTCTCATAATAAATGTTATCAGATATGCTATGTTATGCTATATGATGTATTACGATATGCATGCTAAAGTAGACTAGGTATTCTTATTAGGACTAGAGTGGCCTGATATATGATGCCTTAGTCTAGGGGTTTTGCTGCTAGAAATGCTTAAGAGTGTTTAGGTAGCAGCGAGGTGCTTATGAGAGAATTGCTAGCGGGTAGCACATGATAGTAAGAGTAGAGCACTTGGGATTTAGGGCTCAAGGAGGAGGACTTGGGATGAATTCCGATGCGGTATGGACGGTAGTATTGGGCCCGTACTACTGAAGATATCGGGTTGGAGTGCAGTCCAAGTAAGAATCCTTTGGGCACTAAGGAACCAGTGGGGTGGAGCTATCGAGTGTGATTATACTCGAGTGGGTCCCTAATATTCTTATGTTGTATTTCAGAGGGAGATCATGGTTGGGACGCGCCACACACCAGAGGTCAACGGAACGAGTGATGAGGAGATCCGTACGATCATCCACGAGGAGGTGGCTGCGGCCATCAGGGCTGAGATTGCAGAGATGTTCGGGTCTATTAAGACCACTTTGATTGAGAATTTTGATGAGCGGTATGCTTCTCTTTTTGATGCTGCTGTTGCTGCAGCCACTGTGGCCGTTGCTGCTGCCAGGCCGCAAGGGGGTGACTCGTTGTATCGGGAGTTCAGCAATACAAAGCCACTAGAATTTGACGGAACTCAGGATCTGATAGCTGCGATGAGGCGGGTTTCTGACATAGAAGGGTGCTTCTATACAATTTCCTATCCGGAGCATCTGAGAGTTCGGTTCGCACTGAACCAACTTCGCTTGGGAGCGAAGGACTGGTGGAAGTTTGTGACGACACACTACACCCCTGCTGAGCTTGTTGTAGTAACCTGGGAAAGGTTCACTACTATGTTTCGAGATGAGTACGTTCCCCAGGTGGAGATGGAACGATTGGCATAGGAGTTTCTAACCCTTAAGCAGGGTACTGAGTCGGTTACAGAGATCACACGGAGGTTTCACGATAGGGTGATGTTCTGCCCTGAGCACGTGTCGACCGAGCAGGCACGTATGAGCCAATATCTGAGCATTTTGAGGAGAGACATTCGTGAGTTTGTGGCAAACTCATCATACCGGAAATTTGCTGAGCTTTAGGCAAATGCTCGGAAGAGGGAGATTGAATTGGAGACGCAGGCCAAGGAGGAGGCCGAGTCTCAGAGGATGGATCGGTGGCCGGTACAGTCTCAACCGGCAGCCAAGTGGGCCAAGCCCGCCGATTCGAGGACTGGGGGTCAGAAGGGCCGCACTTGCGGAAAGTGTGGCAAGGGTCATGACGGAGTTCGTAGGGTTGGTGCTTGCTACAAGTGTGGCAAGGAGGGGCATATCGCCAAGGATTGCTCCACGGGATTCATGGTCTGTTTTCACTGCAACCAAACCGGTCACTGGAAGGCGGAATGTCCACAGTTGCGAGGGACGACGTAGGGATCACCTCAGGGATCTGCCCCTACTATTGCATGAGCTAGTGAGAGTCGGTTTGTGAAAGCCAAGGCGCCAAGGGTGTGAGGGAGAGCATTTTAGCTGACAGCGGAGGAGGTCCGTGCAGCACCTGATGTCGTGGCTGGTATGTACTCTACCATGTATTCATTTTATGTTGAGATATTGTGCTTATATTATGTTATGTGTAGGTACTTTTCTTGTGAATTCTCTACCTGCTCTAGTGTTATTTGACTCGGGTGCGAGTCGCTCTTTTGTATCGTTGGCATTTAGCCGACACATCAGTATGAGTAGAGAGCCGTTGAGTCGACCTCTGAGAGTTTCCATAGCGGATGAGAGAGCAGTCTATGCCACTGAGGTGATTCGAGGTTGTGTGCTTGAAATTTTCGGGGTTGAGTTTCCGATCGATTTGGTCCCCATTGCGATGGGGGATGTCTGTGTCATCGTGGGCATGGACTGGTTGAGCAGATTTGGAGCGATCATCGACTGCGAGCGACAAATGGTGACCATGCGAGACCCTAGTGGGGGAATTCTTACAGTGTATGGCGAGGGTACACGTTTTGGGTCGGCGTTTTGTTCAGCCGCCAAGGCGAGACAGAGTCTTCAGCAGGGATGTAAGGGATTTGTAGCGTATGTGATGGATGCGAGGGTTGATTCAGAGAGACCGAGGTTAGTGGAAGAGGTACCAATAGTGCGTGAGTTCCCGGACGTATTTCCGGAGGAGTTGCCGGGTGTGCCTCCCGCAAGGCAGGTAGATTTTGGTATCGACCTGATCCCGGGGGCTGCGCCTATCGCCAAGGCACCCTATCGCCTTGTGCCTCCTGAGATGCATGAGTTGTCCTCGCAGCTTCCGGAGCTGTTGGGGAAGGGATTTATTCGGCCGAGCAGTTCGCCGTGGGGAGCACCTATCCTTTTCGTCAAGAAAAAGGATGGTTCACATCGGATGTGCGTAGATTATCGGGAGTTGAACAAGTTGACGGTCAAGAACCGTTATCCATTGCCGAGGATTGACGATTTGTTCGATCAGTTGCAGGGAGCATCTTGGTTCTCCAAGATCGACCTGAGGTCTGGATATCATCAGGTAAGGGTGCGGGATGAGGATATCCAGAAGACATCATTAAGGACTCGTTACGGGCATTACGAGTTTGTGGTGATGCCTTTCGGGCTCACCAACGCACCATCAGTGTTCATGGATCTAATGAACAGGGTGTGTAAACTGATGTTGGATCGCTCGGTGATCATATTCATCGATGACATTTTGGTGTACTCGAGGTCTAGAGAGCAGCATGAAGAGCATTTGAGGGAGGTCCTCAGGGTTTTGAGATCGGAGAGGCTTTATGCCAAATTCTCCAAGTGTGATTTCTGGTTGCGAGAGGTCCAGTTCCTGGGACATCTCGTTAACCAGAAAGGGATATTGGTCGACCCGGCCAAGATTGAGGCGGTGATGAGTTGGGAGGTGCCGAGGTCACCAATGGAGATCAGGAGTTTCCTAGGATTGGCAGGCTATTATCGGAGGTTTGTCAGGGATTTCTCCAAGATTGCTATGCCACTCACTAAATTGACCCGGAAGGGTGTAGTTTTTCCTTGGGGTCTAGAGCAGCAGGCTTCCTTCGATACACTTCGCCATAGGCTATGGGAAGCCCCGGTGTTAGCCCTTCCAGAAGGAATGGAGGATTTTGTGGTATATTGTGACGCGTCGATATCAGGGTTGGGAGCAATGCTTATGCAGAGAGGGCATGTGATAGCGTATGCATCGAGGCAGCTGAAGCCTCATGAGGCGATGTATCCTACCCACGATTTGGAGTTGGGGGCAGTAGTGTTCGCCCTCAAGATCTGGCATCACTATCTGTATGGGATCCGATGTACCATTTACACGGATCATAAGAGACCGAAGTACTTGATGGATCAGCCCAACCTGAATATGCATCAGAGTAGATGGATGGATGTGGTAAAGGATTATGATCACGAGATCATGTATCACCCGGGTAAGGTTAACGTGGTAACCGATGCCCTATGTCGTAGGGCAGAGAGCATTCCGATGCAAGACGTTTGTATGAGATTGATAGTGATGACTCTGGTGTTGGACACTATCCGAGGATCCCAGACGGAGGCCGTGAGACCGGAAAACTAGAAGAGGGAGCAAGTTATCGGTTTGGTATCGGAGTTCGTTACCGATAACCGAGGGCTTATGACTTTTCAGGGACAGATTTGGGTACCGTTTGTGGGTGGAACGCGTACCGTTTTGATAGAGGAGGCGCATAGAACGAAGTTCTCAATCCATCCCGGTTCCACTAAGATGTACTTGGATCTGAAGAGGGAATGTTGGTGGCCTTGTATGAAGAGGGATGCCGCGTGGTTCGTTGAGAGGTGCCTAACCTGTTGCAAGGTTAAGGTTGAGCACCAGCGTCCGCATGGCAACTTGCAGCCATTGGAGGTTCCCGAGTGGAAGTGGGAACATATCACCATGGATTTTATCACCAAGCTGCCGAGGACTACTAGGGGTGTCGATGCAATTTGGGTGATTGTGGACAGGTTGACGAAGAGCGCTCACTTCCTTGCAATCAGTGAGAGCTCTTCTGTTGAGAGGCTGGCAGAATTGTACGTGAGAGAGGTGGTATCGCGACATGGGGGTGCCAATCTCGATTGTCTCAGATCGAGATGTGCGTTTCACTTCCAGATTTTGGAAGAAATTCCATGAGGAGTTGGGTACGAGGTTGCATTTTTGTACCGCATACCACCCGCAGACTGACGGATAGAGTGAACGGACGATTCAGACGCTCGAGGACATGCTTCGAGCATGTGTGCTAGATTTCGGCAGAAGCTGGGACACGTATTTTCCCTTAGTGGAGTTTTCCTACAACAACAACCATCATTCAAGCATTGGTATGCCCCTTTGAGCTGCTGTATGGGAGGAGGTGTCGGACCCATATTTGCTGGGGAGAAGTAGGGCAGCTTGTGATGGGAAGTACAGAGATCGTGCTTCAGATGACTGAACAGATTTAGCAGGTCCGAAAGAGGTTGCTAACCGCTCAGAGTCACCAGAAGAGTTATGTGTATAGCCAACAAGTCGGCAGTGGTGCCATTGGAGGATATTCAGGTGGATGTGGGCCTGAACTACATTGAGAAACCAGTGGCGATACGGGATCGAAGGATCAAGGTCCTGAGGAACAAGGAAGTGCCTCTGGTACAGGTCCAGTGGCAACATCGGAAAGGGTCGGAGCTTACTTAGGAACCGGAGCGTGAGATGCGTGAGTAGCATCTGAAGTTGTTTTCGGAGTGAGACTTCGAGGGCGAAGTCCGATTCTAGTGGGGGAGAATTGTAACATCCGGATTCCCATGTATATTATTGTTCATTTAATTTTTGGATTTTGTGAAGGAAATCGGCGAGTTAGCGCCAAGACTCGCCGAGTAGGGATGCGGATGTTCATTCTATTTCATGACCGGAATCGGTGAGTCCATCCGTGGACTCGGTGAGTCCACGCTGTTTAGTGAAGCCCTAATTTCCAGGGCTTGGAACCTATTTAAAGGCCCTTATGGCCGTCCATTGTGGCTACTACCCCCCAGAGATAGTCTCAGATCGTTGGAGAAGCAAGGAGTGAGCATTGTTGATCCATGTGGTGTCATTTAGTAAGAAAAAGGAGGTTCTAGCCAAGGGAAAGCAAAGGAGGTTGCTATTCTAAGGACTAAAAGCTAAGATCATTCATTTGAGGTATTATTTCGACTCTTCTTCTGTTTTGGGAAGGATATGTGGTTTTAGGGTTTCTTGTACCCTTGACTAAGTTGATTTGAGGTCCAAATAGTCCCTTCTAGAGATAAGGCTTTGTACCTAGACCCATAGAGGTCCAAAGAGCCTTACTCTTCAAGCTTTACGAAGAACAATGGAGGTCATGACCTTGGGTTGAGGTATTTGGGACAAAATCATCATTTGATGCTTACTGGTTGAGTTATAAGCATCAAGATTCAGACTTTACGTGACATTTATGCTTGGGAAGGCCAGATCTATGGATTAGAGGCATATATCTGACCACAGGAGATCTATAGAGTTTGTGCATGGCATGAAATCGCCGAGTTGTTCTTGGGACTCGGCGAGTAGGGTTAAGGTCCACACAGATTACTCAGTGAGTAGACTTGCCGAGTTGGGAGATAACTCAGTGAGTCAGAAGGGGGTTAAAAGACTAGAGTTCAAGGCAATACTCACCAAGTTGTTCTTGAGACTCGGCGAGTTGAGTCGGGGTAGCCCCATGATTCATGCCAGGTGTGACTCGTTGACCATGGGGTAGGACTCGACGTACCAAACGGGACAGAGAGTTAGTGGACATGTGTGTACTTGTCGAATCACCGGAGTGCACTTGGTGAGTTGGGTCAAAGTTGATCGTTGAATTTTGTTGACTTTTAGGGTTTGGATAACAATGGGGTCCTTGAGTCAAGATGGGAGAGGGGGGGGGGGGTAAAATAGCCTTTTACCCTTCTGAGGGTGACAATAGAGGGTCGAGTCTAGCCTCGAGTGTTATGTTTATGAGGGTATTTACTTTGTGTGAATAGGCAGAGGCTAGGCAATACTTCTACCGAGTCAGAGATTTACGAGACGTCTGAGGTGAGTCTTCTCACTATGGCTTACCCGATGGGGTAATTGTATGTGACCGAAGGGTCTTATGTGTATGATGTATATGCGATGTAAGTTATATGCGATATGTTATGTGATGTGAGCATGATGTGGGCCGGAAGGTCAAGATGATACGGACCAGAAGGTCAACCGAGTTTGGGATGGAAATCCCCTGAGACACTTGGATCGGAAGGTCCTATGGCCTGGAAAGGCGTATGTGATATATGTTGTATTTTGGGGGAACTCACTAAGCATTTATGCTTATAGTGTTATGTGTTATGTGTTTCAGGTACTAGCGATGATCGCGGGAAGGCGCCGGCATGACTCGTACACACGCACACTGGAGTTTAAATATTTTGATCTAGGGTTTTATACTGATACAATGTTGATACAATTTTTTTATTTATGAATGCAAACTATATTTCATGTTTTTTCAAAAACTGAAAAATTGCTCAAATATTTACGGTGTTACACCATCGCTACGGACCGCCCCGTAGTCTTACCATACTTCTCTTACTATCTGACCACTGGTGAATGCTACGATCATCCGGTTGTCTGACAACACCTTCCCACACTGGCTAACTGGTAGTGAATGCTATGACTAACCCATAGTCAATCATACAAGCACAATCTAGTACCCCCAAGCGGTACTCATGTCCCAACAGGAACTTCCGGCCGATTCCTCTGCAGTCTGCTACCAAACTTCTCGAGAATGAGGTCTCACAATTGGCAAGTTTTTCCAAACTTCCCACTTACACTGTCCTCAATTCATACTACCAGCTGGGCCGTCTTTCTCCCTGACAGGACAGCGGAACTTTTCCTAGCTCCAAAACCTCTTCTGCTCCCATAACATGATTGTTTCTCCCCCACTTAGCTTCGGCTAAGTCTTTACTGAACGCGAAAACCCGAGGATTTCCATTCCTTCCTCCCTTGCACAAAAGGGCATGATAACTACCATCGCCTGGATGTCGGTAGCGATCCATAACTAGTTCGCTCCTAATACCGTACGATCATCGAATACTAGACGAACACCTCCTGCAACCCCAATCCTGATAGTCCCCTGATCTCCAACTAATTCCCTTAAGGTCCGAATAACTACTGCTCCAGGCAACCTACTTGGTGATAAGCTAGTTTCTTTGATGCTTCCGAAAGCCATCCCGAATGCCAATATTAGAATTATCAAACCCTGATGATGGTGGCTGACTACTCCCTGAACCATTTTCAACCGTGAACGAGATGATACTGGACACTTCGAACCCGAAGTGAAAGATGACCTACACTAGCTACTAATAGCTCCTGGTATGCAATTGGCATATGAGAATTCCAAAATACAATCCGAATACAAAAAGAGAGACAAATCATACATAAAATCGCCTGATTCTGGGGTAAAAACTTCCCTAATTCGCATGGAAATGAAAATATCCATAGATACGTACCTGCAACATTCCCTACTATAATCAAGATCTTCCGCATCTATCACTGTAAGGACCTACCCTCTCGCCCATCCATAATCCTCATGGTCGTTGGGGCAGACGCACTTCCTGCTCCTCCCCTCATCGTCGGGCAGTCAGCCCTCTTGTGGCCCACCTGATTGCAGTGAAAACATAATGGGCTTGCCTTCTGTGGGAAATCCCTACTGACGTGACCATCACTGCCACACTTGTAGCATCCTGAACCCCTGGAACGACAAACTCCCTCGTGCGATTTCCCGCACGTGCTACACTGACTTTGGACCTGCCGACCTGCTAATCTCTGATCTGAAGTCTTGGGTCTCCTCCCGGGACCCTCCAAAGTATATGTCTGATCTGACCTCCTCTTCGCAATGTGCTCCGGGTCGATCTCCCTTTCCTGCGCCCTGGCAATCATAGAGCCTAGGGTTGGACATGTCAAGAAGCTGACATGCTCCCAAATATTAGTCCTCAACATGTCATGATAACGGGTCCTCTGCGTCTCATCATTCCCTGCATACTGAGGCACCAATAAGGCTCTCTCCCGAAACTTGAGGGTAATCTCCACCACCGACTCTGTCGTCTATCTCATGTCTAGGAATTTTCTGGCCAACTGCTGAAGCTCCACCGCCGGTGCAAACTCCGCCCTAAACCCGGTCACAAAGTTTGACCAGGTCATAGCCTCGATGCCCGAGGCTCCTAATGAGTCACTAACTGACTCCCACCAATCTCTGGCTCGGTCCCTCAAACATCCCATCGCAAAGCGGACCTTCGACCCCTCCGGGCAGAAGCTTGTCAACTATGTAGACTCAATGTCTGCGATCCATCTTCTGGCAACAATGGGGTCCTTCGCCCTGTGAAAATACGGCACACCACACCCTCTGAATTCCTTGAAGGACGACGTGCGCGTACTTTCCTGGCCAGATGCCAAATCACTCCTGAAAGCTCGGAGGCGATCCTCCATCAGCTCAATGATCCCCTCCTTGATCGACCTAAAGATGACCGGGGTAGCGTCAAGGATGCCTCTCGTAATCTCAAATGTGATGAACTCGCGTAACCCATCATCAACTTGTTCGGATCCCGCGCCTGAACCTAATCCTGAACCGGATCCCGACCCTCCTGCTCCGTGCCGTGTGGTCACCATGCTGAAAATACACGCGTAAAAGTCAGGATCATACATACTCCTGAGAGGTCTAACACACCACAAGTTCCCCGGTCTCATCTCGGCCTTTCTCAAATCGAGTATGAATCCTCTGCTTTCAGTAGTACGAGCCCATACTACATTCCACATTTATCCGTACTTTCCTCGAGAACTGCTTTGACTCCACCAGGTCCCTTTCTCTACTACTATAGCACCCAAAACTTTCTCATCCTAGGCTTACCCTAGGGACACCGCTGACTCAACTCAAACCAGTCCTCAACTGTTGAAGGCCTCCTTGTGATGCCAATTTGCCATCACCTGAATACCATCACATGTGATGAGGCTTAGATAATCCTTCGAGTAACAGACTCGTCCCTACAATGGTTAGACTCAGACGAGAGCTGCACAATAGGGCCAAATCCAACACTTTGAGATTATTTAACCCTGACCACATGTGACGTGACGTATTCACCTAATGGCTAATTTTCATCACTCAGAATCCCATAATGTACAAAGCAAGCAACATTTAGACAAGGGAAAATCTAACCACATAATACAATCATATTGCTCTATCCCCTACTCAGGAATTTATTCTATCATGCATCTCATAAAGCTCATATACATATAATAGGCACATAAGGCATCCTACTACATCCTTAGTCCTAATCTAGCATGCAGTTCTAATAATCATATCATAACATAACTTCAATGGGTATCTTGGGGTACTTACTTGAGCTCGGCTGATTGCATGCACCACACCCTTTTCTCTTTCCAAAGTTCCTTTTTGCTTTTTTTTTCCTAAAACCCTTTTTTCTTCCCTCAAAATTCCTTTTATAATTATGGTCTTTCTTTAGAAAATTTTATACCACTTCCTCAGTTTGAGTTTAGACACGCCCGAGAGTGTGCCCAATCCCTTAAACTAAGGCTTTGATACCAACTTGTAACGTCCTAAAATTCAAGGCAAAAAATTTCTTTTAAAAACATTACTAAATCATAGTGTAAAGTTATTCAAACATACAAAAAGGGTTTATATGACAAATCATAGTTTCATTTCCAAATCGCTCGTTTAATTATCAGAGTAAAACATCCCATGTTAACTTGTCATGGTGTGTGGACTGCAACCCTCCCGAGCACCTTTTTTGAAAACCGGATACTTGAAACCAAAACTGAAAACCACAAGCACGAAGCTTAGTGAGAGCCCCAAATACCATATACCATACAACTAATTGATCCAAACATGCCATACTTAGCCAAGAGCCATACATAATCAACATACCATAATCAAGTAAGGTGCTATGTGCCAAACATAGTATTGCTAAGGTGCTATGTGCCAAACACAGTCTGGTGGTTGTGCCACGGGCCGCACGTGGTCTTCCTGGTCCAGCCTGGGGCCATTCCATGGGTCTTACAGACAGGTGCCAAGGGCCACCCCCTGGTCTTTCATGCAAGTATCACAAAGACAACTATACATACTACTCTACTAGGCTATTCCGCATATAGTGTGCCAGGAGCCACCTCCTGGTCTTTCATACACAATGGCATACAGTGCGCCAGGAGCCACCTCCTGGTCTTTCATACGTATTGCCTAGGGCTAACCCCCGGGTCTTCCTAGCATACATAAACTAAATGGGCCGACATTGGTGCCTTAGACCCATACAAACAGTGAGGAGACTCACCTCGCACTGCTGAACTTTGCTGATAATTGTCTGGTTGTTGCCCGACCACTTTCTGAACCGTTGCTCCCCTAGCTCTCCGAGCTACTAATACCAATAAAACAGTTAGTTCCGGACTGAACTCTAGAAGTCAACCCAAGTCAACTCTGGTCAAAGTCAAAGTCCCGGTCATCCTTCCAGTTGACTCGACTCACCGACTCAACCCATAGACTCGCCGAGTCCTTAACTCAGAAACTCCCATAACACGAATCAACTCTCCGAGTCACCCCAAGACTCGTCGAGTTCAATGATATCTGAGTCCCTTCCTGTTCAACTCCCTGAGTCACCACTCAAGTCACCGATCTGCGTCTTAACCAGAAGAGGTTGGGGGTTCTACGACCCGACTCTTCAAGTCCAAGAACAGACTCGCCGAGACCTAGACAATCTTCAACAGACTCACCGAGTTGTTCTTACAACTCGTCGAGTTCCTGCCTATCTTCATCCAACTCGCCGAGTCCACCCATGCGACTCGCCGAGTAGCTTCAGCTCTTAATCCATAAAGTGGCTTTTCGAGCCATGCAGGGGCTCCAAACTGTAGATCGACTCTTCTAAGGCCCATCTTTCACGTAAGGTTGCAAACTTTACGTGAAACCAAGATGCTATAGGCTTAAAACATTCTAGGGCTTGGTTTTGTGACAATGATATTTCACCAACACACTAAAGACTACTACTTTATTCCTCTAAGCAAATTTCTTGAGGTGGTGAGGGGAAGGTGGTTGTTTTTCGGTGGTGGTGAGTGTTAGTTGTATTGTATGTAATCTATGTAAGGTGTATAGCCAAAAGCCTATAAGAAAGAATAAAATTAGTTGATTTGATTTTTTTGTAGGTTTAATAAAGATCTTCATTTATAATTAAGAATATACCCGCAGGCAACCATTGTTGTCTTGTACTTCTGGTAGAGCTGAGTCTCTTTAAAGTTATTTCTCCAGTTTCTTTGTTTTATCCATCTATGAATAAACATTAGTGAAAAGACAATACCCTATTCAGGAATAAAAACTAACAAAAACCAAAAGTATTAAAAAC